GTTGAGCCATCTAAGCCCTTTGGAAGTAAATTCCCAGAAGTCAGACATGGAGCTACTGGATTTGGTGTTTTCCCTGCTGTTTTTTGGTCTTGTTTTTGTCTGGTATTTCCTTACTATGCCTCTATTCCTCCTTTTGGAATGGCAATGTATATCCGGTTCCACTGTATGTTGGGAGTATATAATTTGTCTTTTGATTTTATAGGAGCTTATAATTAAGCAATTTCCCTCATTCTCAAGAGACTTTGGACTATGGACTTTTGAATAGTATTGAGACTGGTATTGATATGGGGACTTTTAAGGTTGGACTAAATGGATTTTCCATTTTATATGGTCATGAGCCTATGGGGGGTCAGGGGGTGGAATTGGTGGTTTGAATGAAAATGTCCCCCATAGGCTCCAAGTATTTGGACATTTTTATCCCCAGTTGTGGCACTGTTTTGGGAAGTCTTATAAGGTGTGACTATCCTGGAGGAAGCACATCACTGAGGGTGGGCTTTGAGAGTTCTTAAGCCTTACCAGATCTCCAGTCACTCTCTTGCTTCCTGTACTCACGTGAAGATGTGAGAGCTTAGCTTCTGCTGCTCCTGCTCCAGCCACCTCCAGCCACCATGCCTTCCCACCATGATGGGCTGTAATTCTCCTGGAACCGTAAGCTCAAATAAACTCTTTCTTCTATTAAAAAAAAAAAAAAGAATATTATCTCAAGCTGGTGAGCCAGCTCACCAAAGTGGAGAACTGTAACTAGGAACTCAAGAAACTCAGTTCATCAAAGCTTCTCCAGCAACAATAATGACCTACATGTTTGAAGACCCAGCCATGAGTCAACTCAGCAACATGAGGAAGAAGCAAAGCACCAGCCATACCCTTCATGACCACACTCTGGACATTGTGATGAAGAGCCATTTGAGGAGTACCATGCTGTTTCTGTAGTGGAAGAAGCCACCATCAAACATACCTACATCATTGTCCACCAGGCACTGAAAATGTGAGCCTGTGATTGGGCTGGTAGCCATCTTCAAGACTGGCCATTTTGCCCAGATCACTGTGTCCCTAACTGATGGAGGTCATTGCTTTCTGATATGAGGTGGATGATCACTGAGAGCCAAGCAAGTGAACACCAGCAGACACTGAGGACAGCTGTCCTGAGAGCTACTGGAGGCTTTTTGTAGCAAGGGCCTAGTGCTCAAAAGGAAGCACACCATATACACACACAAGATGGCCAAGGCCAACCATGTCACACACGCACACACACACACAAGATGGCCGAGGCCAGCCATGACACACACACACACACACACAAGATGGCCGAGGCCAGCATCACACACACACACACACACACACACACACACACAAAAGACAGCCAAGGCTAGCCATCACACACACACACACACACACACACATACACACAAGATGGCCAAGGCCAACCATGTCTCACACACAGACACACACACAGACACACAAAAGATGGCCAAGGCTAGCCATGCCCTGACCCACTACTGCCACTACTGCTGGTGGTGGTAGAAGAGCAGTGGCTCCAGGAGGAGCCCAGGGCTCTGTACTAGAAACTGTCAGAGCCGCTGCCACCTTGAAAAGTACCTGTGAGTTCAGATGACTTTCCTGTTTAAGAAGGATGCAGCAGCTTGTTTGTTGCCCATTAATCTTTTCAGGACTAGAACTGGCTTCCCTGACTCATTGTAAAGAAGGAACATCCTGACTTGAGGGTTTCCTTCAAGAAACTCATCTCTTAACTCAGCTTGGGTACACCTTTGCATTTTATGAAAGGAAGCAGTTTTAGGGTCAGAACAGATTTACTAGAAAATCCTCAACCCGACTTGGGTTCTGTGATATAGAACTTCCATTCATTAAAACTGACTAGGAAAAGAAAAAAAAAAAAAGTGAAGACCATAGGATGGGAGAAAACACTGACAAGTCATACACCTAAAGAAGATCTTGTACCTAGAATATGTAAAGAACTCCTAAAAACAATAAAGGAAGTAGGTTTTTTTTTATTTTTTTTTATTTTTTTTTAATTTTTTTTTTTTAAGGAGCAAGGGACTTGAATAAGCATTCTCTTAAAGAAGATATAAAATTTCATGGCTAATTAGCACATGAAAAGATGCTCACCATCATTAGTCACTGGGAGAATGCAAATAAATACAAATGAGATGCCAAATCACATCCACTAGAAATACTGTAAACAAAAAGGTGCAAATGGGATGGAGATGTGAAAAAGTAAGACACTCATACTATCCCAGCACTTGTGAGACTGAGGCAGAATTGCCATGAGTTTGAGGCCAACCTGAGCTATATAGTGAGTTCCAGGACAGTCAAGGCTACCCAGTGAGAACTTGTCCAAAGAAACAAACGACAAAAATGTATGTATAACAATCATAAAATCTGCAAACCAAATTCTGCAAACCAAATTGTCACTATCTTTTTCTTTTCTTTTCTTTTTTTCTTTTCTTTTTTTTTTTTGTCATCTTTTTGAGACAGGATCTCCCCATAGCCTCAGCTGACCTGGAACTCTGTATGTAGATCAGGCTGGCCTCAAACTCACAGAGATCTGCCTGCCTCTGCCCCCTCCCCCGAGTGCTGGGGTTAAAGGTGTATACCACCATGCCCAGCCTTTTCAAATGCTTTTCTTAATTATTATTATTTTTATTTTTTGTGTATGAGTGTAATGCCTGCATGTGTATAAGTGCACCCATGTTGTGCAATGCCCTTGGAGGTCAGAAGAGGGCATCAGATCCCCTGGAACTAGAGTTACAAACAGTTGCTAGATGCCATGTAGATGCTGGGAATTTAACCTGGGTCCTCTGCAAGAGCACTCAGAGCTCTTAACTGCTGAGCCATCTCTCCAGCCCTATCACTATCTTTTCTAGAGCACCAAAAACACTGACTTTGGCATACAGGCTTGCAGTAACTCCTGACTCTCTCTCCTCACCTATGCCTCCTTACCTTTAAAATGATTATAACAGATTTTGTTTCATTTTCAAAGCATCAAATATCTCCATGCAAGACTATCTCCTAAACCACAGGGCCTGGAGGGCATGCCAGTGAAGTCTATGTGAATGCTCCCACCCTCCATCAGGACCTCTAAAGACAATGCTAGTGGTATTCTTGGTGACACTAGCTATAGGAAAACATGTTTATAAGGTCTTTTTTAGACCCATATCATTCCTATATAAATCCCCCCCCCCAAGAAAAAGGCCCTCACATCTATCAACTTCAGTGTTGAAACACCTTGAAAATGATGTTAGCAATGTGAAATCGCCTTTGTTCTTTACAGAAGAGCCACAGCATCCATGCATGACCTTGGAATGAATGCAGATCTCTGCAGAAAAGACATCCTTCCTTCCCCTCCTCAATCAAAACACAGTTTCTATTGTTGATTTGGGAAGGGGGGTGAGTCAGGGTCTCACTATGTAGCCCTGGCTAACCTGGAACTTGGATCAGGCTGGCCTTGAACTCTCTGTAGATATTCCTGCCTCTGTCTCTGGAGTGCTGGGATTAAAGGCACGTGCTACCACACTTGGTCTTATTGTTGATTTTTAATGAATTTTTTGGTTAGCGTACCAACAGATGGGTTTTTAGCCAGGTGTGGTGACACATACCTTTAGTCCCAACACTTGGGAGGCAGAAGTAGCAGATCTCTGAGATTTAGGCCAGCCTGGTCTACATAGTGAGTTCCAGGCCACTGGGGCTACAGAGAGACCCTGCCTCAAAACAACAACAAAACCAATGGGTTCTATTGTGACATTTTATAATACATGCACATACATACATACATACATACTTTTCACACCACATTGCTCTCTTGCTGATTCCCTTCTTTACCCCAAATACTTCTTTCTGCTTTTATGATACATATTTCCATTACCTCTGTTCTTCTTCCTCCTCCTTTCCTCTCTGTAGCCCCAGCTGGCCTGGAACTCACTATGTAGACCAGGCTGGCCTTGAACTCACAGAGATCCACCTGCCTCTGCCTCCCGAGTGCTGGGACTAAAGGCGTGCCCCACCACACCTGGCCTTCCCTCCCTTTAGACCTCTTCCCCTCTTTTCATAGTCTGCTTTCTACTTTCATGTCATGTGTGTGTGAGTATAAATTTAAATCTACAGGGGCTGGAGAGCTGGCTCAGTGGTTAAGAGCACTGGCTGCTCTTGCAGAGGACCAGGGTTCAAATCCCAGAACCAACATGGCAGCTAACAGCCATTCAGTTCCAGGGGAATCCGCTGTCCTCTTCTGACTGCCATGGGCATTGCATGACATGGGTGTACTTACATACATGTAGGCAATACACTCATACATATATAATAAAATTTAAATCTGTATTACACATATGAGAGAAAACATGCAGTATCTGTCTTTCTGAGTCTGGTTTATTTAACATAATCTCCAGTTTCATCTATTTTCCTATGAATGTCATAATTTCATTTTTCTTTACAACTGAATAAAATTCTCTTATGTATATGTACCACATTTTCTATATTCATTTTTCTATTGATGAACAGTTAGACTGGACCCATATCTTGACCATTATAAACAGTGTGGCAATAAACATGAATGTGAAAGTATCTCTGTGGTATATCGACTTAGTCCTTCCGGTGTATGTCCAGAAGTGGTGTAACTCAGCCGTATGGTAGTTATATTTTTACTTTTTGGAGAAACTCCCATCCTGACTCCCATAGTTTCCTCACTAGTTTGCACTCCCACCAGCAATAAATAAATTTTCCTCTTTCCCCACATCCTTGCCAGCATCTGTTGTTATTTGCTTTCTTAAGAGCCATTCTGACTAGAATCTCAAGGCAGTTTTAATCTGCATTTCCCTGGTGGCTAGAGATCCCAATGCAGTTGGGATCAACTAAATGTAGGAGAGAAAACAGATTTCCATCTCAGAAATGGTTGGGAGCTCCCTGCAGGGTCGTGCTGCCTTCCTTTTCTGGTAGCTAGGCCAGGAGGAGGCGAAGATAAAGATAATGGAGGTCTGTATTCTTGTCAGTGGTCCAGTGCATCAAAAGGCTGACTGGGGCAGCATTCATGAGAAGATATGCCAGCTCCTGATTCCACTGCGCACCTCCATGCCCTTCTACAACTCTGAGGAGGAAAGGCAGCATGGTCTGCAGCAGCTGCAGCAGCGGCAGGTAGGTCTCCTAGCTCGTAACCTCCATGAGGGAGAGGGGCATGGTCTTTACCTTCACGATCCCATTTAGTGGATTGTTTCCCACACATGTACTGAATACTCACTGTATTCATTTGCTAGTGTGATCATAACAAGATGCCACAAGCTGGGTGGTCCGAACAACAGGGATTGATTTTCTCAACAATTCTAAAGGCTGAAAGTCCAAGTCAAGGTTTGGCTTCTTTCTTTTCTTTGGTGTATATGTGTACATGTTTGGGTGCACATGTATATGCTGGTTGCATGTGGAGGCCAAAGGACTTGGGTGTAGTTCCTCAGGAGCTATGTCCATCTTGGTTTGTTGTTTTGATTTTGAGACAGGATTTGTCACTGGACTGGAGTTCACCAAGTAGGCTAGCTTGGCTGGCCAGGGAGCCCCAGGATTCTTCTGTATATTCCTGTCCAGAGCCGGGATTGCACCATGTACCACCATGCCCTGCTTTTTTAAAACATGGGTTCTGGGTATTGAACTCAGGTCCTCATGTTTATTAACTGAGCCATCTCTCCACCCCCAGGTTTGGCTGCTTCTAAGATCTCTCTCTGTTTGGCTTCTTCTACGATCTCTCTCTCTCTCTCTCTCTCTCTCTCCTCTTTCCTATCTTTTGAGACCAGGCTGGCCTCAATCTCACAGAGGTCCTCCTGCCTCTGCTTCTCAAATGCTGGGATTAAAGGTGTGTGCTACCATGCCACTTTAGTTTTTGAGATAAGGGCTCTCACTTAACCTGGAGCTCACCATTTCAACTAGACTGGCTGGTTAGTGAGCTCCTGGGATCTCTGTGTCTGTCTACCAATGCTTTCACCAGTGCTGGGGTTATAGGTGCATACCACCATGCCAAGTTTTTATGTGAGTATTGGGGATCTGAACTCGGGTCCTCATGCTTACATAGCAAACACTTTACACACTGAGCCATCTCCCCAGCCCCCCAAATTAACTCCCTTTAAACAATTAATCTCTAAAACCCAGGTTCATCCATTTTAGTGTTATAAAACCATGGTAATTGTCTGAGAACAGGGAAGAGTTAAAATTGTTTTTATATTAGCTAAGCAGTATAATTCCAGAAGAAATGTTTTTCTGAAAAGTAACTCAAATAGAAAGTTTTGGGTCGTCCTGAGACATGTATAGCTTTGCTAGACCAAAGTTTTATTAGAACTTTGAGAATAGGGTTGGGGATGTAGCTCTGTCGGCAGAGTACTTGCCTAGCAGGGAGGAAGCCCTAGGTTGTGTTAGATTTTTGGAACTGTAGGAGACAAGAAACCAGAGCCAGACCTGCAACAGGCAAGGTCTGTGTCTTCCTTTATACAAAGAAGATAAAGTGAGAGGAGGTGGAGGCTGTCGGCAGGAACCAATGGGGCACAGCTGCACTTAGTGGGGAGCTGAGTTAGTGCCTGGGCTTGGTGTCCTTGGAGCAATTGAGGGTCTCCTTCTCAAGATCATTTCCCCAGAAACTGGCGGGAGTGTTATCTATGGCCTTAGAGGAGACAGGTGGGCTCCACAAACACTTTCTCTCAGGCTTGGGAGTGACCAACTGATAAGGGGTAATCAGAGCCAGGCTTGAGCAAGGCCAGGCTGCCAATTAAAGGCCAGTTAGACACTTTCAGGGATTTATGGCTTTCCCTAATGAGGCTTGTGGCTCTTCTGCAATTCACACATTCTATCAGATTGGGGCCTCTGTACCACATAAAGCAGATGATGGTACAAATTCAGCTACATGGTGAGTTTGAGGCCATCCTGGACAACATAAGACTATCCTTTGGGGAATTTT